GTCGGACGCTCAACCGACTGCGCCACCCAGGCGCCCCTAGAGTTCTCAGCTTAGAATTTAAAAAATTCCCAAACCGGAAGGGACCACGAAGCCTCTCCAACCCAGTGGTTTTCAGTTGGTACTTGCTTCTTAAGCCCTGGGCTTCGGAAGATGTGCTTCAGCCAAGCCGAGCCGGCCTGGTTCCCTTTCCACTCATTCAGGCCAGGAACCAGGCATCATTCTTCTTTTCCCCTCGTCCCTCTTAGCGAATCCATCAGGAATTCCTGGGAGCTCTGGTTGCAAAGTATCCCTTGAAGCTACCTGCTTTTCCCCATCTTCCCAGTCCCGCTCAAGACCCGGCCACCACCCTCTTTTTCCCGAACCGCAACGAGGAGATCCTCATTAGTCTTCCTAACATTTGGCTCGTCCCTCGATCCACTCTTTCACTCCGCAACGGGGGCAATCTAATTAAAACGTAAGTCAGATTGTGCTGCCCCCCCTTGCTCGAAACCTTTGAATGTTTCTCGTTGTACCAAGAATAAAATCCAGACTTGGTCCCACCGCCTGCCGTAGTCTACTCAACCACGTCTCGTGTCCCTTTTTCCCCTGTCTCTGCTTCCGCCGTGCCGGCCATGCGTCAGTTCCTAGAACTGGTAAAGCCCATCAAGCTCTTTGCCTCCATAGGCATTTTCGGTTACTGTTCCCTCTGCGGGGAACACTTCCACCCTCGCTTCTCGCATGGCTGCTGCTTTCGGGTCTCAGTTTAATTTCACATCCGCCGACAGCCTCCTCTGACCACCCACCCTATCCCAAATAAGGTCACCCTCTGCCATGGCGCTTGGTTGACTTCCTTCGTAACCCTAACAACAATTTTTAATTCTTCGAGGATTTGCTTATTATCGGTCTCCCCTAATCACCTGTCAGCTCCATAGCAGCCTGTTCTGCTCTCCATAATGTCCCAGCATTCAGCGCGGTGCTGACACGTGGGTGGAAGGTGCTGAGTACACACTGAACAAATATGAATGAATGAATGAGTGTCAGGGAAGGCTTGAGCAGAGGTTGGTGGCATACATGGAAGATCAGTAGGCGAGGGGTGTGGAGAAGGCGAATGAGGAAGGAAAAGAGCCCAGAGACATGAAGCTTCTCGCCAGAGGGAACATGGAGTCTTTGTGAAACTCAAGGGAAATGAACGTGGGTTGGGCACAGCAAGCAAGTGGTAGGGGTGTGGGAGGTGGGTCAGGAGGGTCAGGCAGAGCGAGCCAGCATCGCTCCCCTAGGATCCGGACCCCAGGGCCCAGAACAGGGAGGGGTGAATTCTTGAAGGCAGGTCAGGGCCCTCTTGCAGCAGAAGGAGGCCCACAGCAGAAGACCATTTTCCATCCTCTTTGGCTGTTCCTTCTTGGTCTCCTTTGGGGCTTCTGTCTTTGGCCATCCTTTTTGGATCCGTTTTCCTTAGATTCTGTTCAGTGCCTCTGTCTTCATTTGCCCCTGGCTCGCTCCCCCCCTCTCTCCGCCCCACCACCACCCGTCTGCTAAAGAATCTTCCAAATCCGTCTTGAGCCAGGTGTTTCTCTGGAGCTTGCAACTCACACACCCAACCGGCCGTCTGACATCCTCGGGTGGATGCCCCCTAGGCACCTAATGGTGGGTCTAAAACGTGCTTCTCCTCCAGGGTTCTCTGTCTCACCACGTAGCGCAAGCCTGGGAACTGGGAACGGTCCCCGATTCCTCTGACACGTTCCCGATGCGACACCGCGTTCTGGCAATTCCGTACCTCGGTTGCGGCCCGGCGCCGCCTACTTCAATCTTCACGGACACTGCCCTAATTCTTCCCTGGATCATGGCAGTCTCCTCGCTGGCCTCCCAGCCTCTGGTCTCCCCCTTCCTGATCATTCTCTGCTCTGCAGCCTGAGTGAGCTTTCTAACATGCCAATCCGATGGACTCACTCCTTTGCGTGCAACTTTTCCACGGCTCTCTATCACCCTCAGGAGGATCAAGGCCGCGTACTCTCTGATAGGGCGAGAGGGTCTTTACCAGGGACCCTTGCCTTTGTCTCTAGGGGCTGTCTTGCTCTCCCTGCCCC